CATGCATAACTGATAAAGATAACTGTAGAAGACATTCTAGCAGAAAATATTAAAAGAAAGCAAGTACTCATTATCAATTGATTTTAGAGATATGCAAAAATTAATTGAGACATATCGGTCAAATATATTCTATTCTAATACATTATACAAAATGCTACTTTGTACTCCCTCCATTCCTAAATATAATACCTTTTAGAGTTTTCAATATTTTTGCATGCGTGTTGAATTTCGTCAGACACCACTTTTCATCATGTATTGCAATTTCTTTATATCATATGATCATTGCATGATTGGATTCCAAGATATAAGGGGAGATCTCTACAATTTCATCCTACCATGTGCATTTGCAGTCCAAAGCAAATTCATTATATGCACATCTTCAGGGGGAGTTCCTCTATATCATGTAATCAAATTCTTCATACTCTGTACTTATACTTCCTATTATTTATCCCCATTGAAAACTTAACCAATTTGTCATCAATCACCAGAAATGGGGATATTGTAAGTGCATCTTGTGCCCCCTTAGTGGTTATGGAGTATTGAAGATAAATGGGTTAAGTGAGTAATGTATTTGCGAGTGTACACAAGAGTTCCATGAAGATTTGGTTTAACCGATGAAAGACAACCCCTAAAAATTTATTTCTTCAAGTGAATAATTTGTTGCGACATTTGAAGAAATTGAAGTGATGAATTGGAAGCTTGAAGACTTTGTTTTCATAGTTTTCTCTTCTTATTTTGAGGGAAACACCGTTCTGTATAAAGAGAGTCTAGGTGATACATAGACGTATTTTCGAAGTAATGCTCAAAACCTACACCTACCTATTTCTTAGAGTTGAAGACTTTGGGAATCTCTTGTAGTGTAGTCGAGTTCTTTAGTGCCAGAGACGAGTTCTACTGGTCGTTGACGAAATTGGTCTGACTGAGGAATTAGGATTTTGCCAGTGCGATTTGCCTACCGTGAGGAAATTGAGGGCCCCGATGAATATGAGAGTTCAAATTTCCAACTATTGTTGTGCTAGCCCCAGCTGTCGAGTGGACTCTTATCCTGACAGCGGTTATGTCCCAAGGGGCATTTATGACAATTCATGTCGGGTTCCCCTGGCTATAAATAGCCATCCACGACCATTTATTGGTTGGTTGCTCCAAGAGAGAGATTGGCACTTGTCATCTAAGAGCAACCTATATATCCTCCGACGACTTTGTGAAACCTAAGTGAGGAAAAATCCAACCAGAGCCATAGTGATTGAGCATCACTGAAGGGATTGATCTGTGTGATATGACGTCTATTACCTTTTAAGACCATCATTCGTCCAAACGGTTAGGCGTCATGTTCTGAGCATCCAAGAGTCATTGTGAATTGTCGATGAACAAGTCTGCGAATGTTTTGGAAGTCGGCCTTGAAGACTTACCACGAGTGATTGGGTGGGGTCTAAGTGATCTTATCTCAAGGAGAATATAGTGAATATTAAGTGTCTTCTAGGTTAAATATGAAGCCACTCCAACCAGATGTATAGTTGATGCAGCAACTAGAACTGGTCTACCAAATCATCGTTTCATCACCAAGCCAATCCTGGTTTCAAATTTGTCAACCCTTTGCTTTCGGTATTTCTGGTGCAAAAGAATTGTGATCTACATTTTGGAGAATTTGAAATGGAGACTTTCATCATGATGGTTTACATTTCTACAGTTCATTTTATGTATGCCTGATTGCTTGTATGGTTGCATATTCTTCACCTGCATCTATCTTGTATGCATGTTTTACTTTTCTGTGATGATTTAGTTTCACCTTTGTTTTTATTTCATCACTCTGATCTTCACCAAATTCATCAGAGTTTGACAAATTTTTAAAAATCTACCATTCACCCCGAGAGATAACCTGCACTTCACTATACACTATGTTCCCTAATTTTGAAGGCCTCATAATCAATTGAGGTCTTTAATTTCAAATTGGTCATCTGATTTTGACTGGGTCAACAATTTCTCAGAGAGCTTATTCAATACTTTTAATTCACTGTGCTTCCTAATTTTGGAGCTCTTGCAATCGAATGAGGTATTTAATTTTTGATTTGGTTACGATTTTGATTAGCCAATGATTTTTCAAATCAATTAGCAGCAACCGGCCTATGAAAACATATCAATCCTACGCACCCTCTTACCACATAGAGAAAAGAAGTGCGACCATGTGACATTGTAGCACCAATGTAGTACATGCAGCGATCGACGCGGAGAATTTCACACATAAACATAAGTTGATCAGCAGATAACATAGAATCACACTCGAAAAGGCCCACCAAAACACCGCACTATATAAATATAAATAAAACACACTCCCTCCGCTACCCCGGCCGCCCCCTCGGCCCCACCACCGTCTCCGTCGCCCTCACCGCCGCCGAGGCCACCGGCTCCGACGTCGCCCGTCCGCGGCTCCCCACCCCGGCGTCCCCGCGCAACAGGCGCCGCCTCGACGTCTCCCGGATCGACGTGCGCGCGCTGGACGCCGGCACGCCGCTGCACGCGGCGGCCGCCCGCGCGTTCCGCGACGGCGCACGCCTCCTCCGCGACGCCCTCTCCGCCTCCTCATCCTCCGCCGCGACGCCCTCCCCGTGCCCCGCGCCGCCGCGGTGCCCGACCTCCGTCGCGCGGCCCGCCGACACGCTCCGGGCCGCCGGCGCGCCCCGCGCCCTCGCCCTGCAATGCGGGCTGGCGCTGGGGTCCCACGTCACGGTGGTGGCCCGGCCGCGGCGGGTGCCCGGCGAAGGCGGCCTGGCGCAGTTCGCGGTGGAGCTGCGGGGCGCGGGGGACGGGGACGCCGCCACCACCATCCTCCACCTCAACCCGCGCCTCCGGGGCGACTGGAGCGGCCGCCCCGTCGTCGAGCTCAACACCCGCTTCCGCGGCCAGTGGGGCCCCGCGCTCCGCTGCGAGGGCTGGCGCCGCTCCGACGAGGACACCGGTGCGTCACCTGCTCTGCATACTCTCACTCAATTTTCACCTGCAAATTTCACCCCTGATTACATTCCACGGTGACACATACTATCAAACATTTTCGTTAGCAGCAGTACACACGCACAGCAGGATCACTGCAGTTGTTAGTACTCCTACTAATTACCAACCAATCTGTGGGGAGCTCTAATGCTCTAGGCTATACATATATTAGTACCACCACTAGTGCATATGTGCTGGTAAATGGTAATTAACCAAGTGGCCTGTACATACGATCTGCATTCAGTGTCATGTTTCGTGATCGGTGCTTAACCTCATTGGGGCTCCATCGCAGTACCATGTTTGGTGAAACGGCTCTAGGTTCCTTTTGGAAAATTTCAATGATTTCGTAGCATTTGTCCTGTGCAGCGCAAAAGCGCGCTGTTCTCAGAAAGTGCAGCATCCTCACTCGCCATGTTTGATAACTGTACTGCCATCGCTATACCGCTGTTTGATCCATCCATGGCCCATTTCAGCATTTCCAAAGTTAATAAGAACAGGGGAGAAAAATGAGTGTATTCGAGCTTTGCGGAGTGATCCAGGGATTTTTGCTGGATGTTTCCGGCAGTGAAACAAGATCCTTCAGTTGATTCATGCACGTAGATTAGACTGACCATTCATTCGCATATTTTGGCACGTTGAATATGTTTCGGAAAGTGTAGCATCCTCACTCGCCATGTTTGATAACTATACCACTGATCTTGATCCATGGCCCTTGGCCCTTGGCATTGATGTACACCGTGCCGTTTCAACATATCCAAAGGTAACAACAAGAGGGGAGAACTACGAGTGTATTCGAGTTTTGAGGAGTAATCTAGGGATTTTTGCTGGATGTCAGTTTTTGCAACAGTGAAACAATTGAATGTGTCCAAAGAATCTGTAAGGCATAGTAACTGTTTACGGAGGAGTCAGGTAATTTTCTTTGAAGATACACGAGGACATGAACCTGGGTGGTGGGATTGTACATTCACTCCCCCACTGAGTTAGGTTCAGCAGACCTATTTGCCTTGATATAGATGACACGCCCGAATATCCATTTCAGCTCCCGAGCTCATCTGATCTCGGTGTGTTTTGATAAAATGTAGAATTGCCTCCTTGCCTCCTTTGTGTTGAGGACCCATATAGACACCTTACGTTTTTACCGGTTACTATTGCATCATATGGAAAATGAACTTGTGACGTTGTCACATTTAGTATAGGTCATCCTTGGTTCTGGATAGTCTCTTTGTTTTCCTAACAGCAGTCTTCGTGCTCTCATTTCCAACTGTATGATACCCGCTAAATGCTTATATTTCTCCTCCGTGTGAATAGATAGGAGGATTTCAAGATGCTCAATTTTGAACTCTGAAGTTCTGAACTGTTGCAGATGCTCAATTTTCAACCTTGAATTTCAAGACCTGTTGTTTTTAACCTGAACTTGCCAAGCTTTACATAACCTCCAAGATCCCATTTCAGATAGTTTTGAGCTGACTCGGATGGCAGGTGGCTGACAACTGTATTTATCATCTAAAAAAACCTAAGTAGATTGATGATCAGCAGTGGATGCTATACCATTACTAGATCATCCATACCCTGTCATATTACTCACACCGACAAATTTTGATGGCAAATTTCATCCATTTTCTACTTTGGCTTTGGTAACTAAAATAGTACTAGAGGACAATAACATGTGCGGTACTGCTGCCTGACCTCTCCTAATATAGTTTGATTATATTTGGTATTTACATGGTTCCTATGGATATCCATTTGATGGAATATCTATTTGATGGCCTGATGATAAATTCCTTGCAAATGCTTTAGGGCTGGTGATTCCCACCGGACGTCCATTTAGTATTTACATTACTAATAAGAGAGCTCTACTAATAATTTGAGCTGAGAAAATGTTTAACATGTGGTAGATTATCTGGTGATCATCGCAAGATTTTCTTATATTGCTTTCATGTGGCGCAGTTGATGGATTGGTGACATGTGAGCAATGGACCTGGAACACTGGTGGTACACTTGAGGAGTTGAAGAGTATGTTGCTGCGTAACCGTGTTGCTGGACAGAGCAGCAGGGGTTTGATAGATTGGCCTTATCCTTTTGTGGAGGGTGAATTATTTGCTCTAACAATAAGCTCCGGCTTGGAAGGTTATCATGTTCAAGTTGATGGGAGGCATGTCGCGTCTTTTCCTTATCGTGTTGTAAGTAGTGTTTCCTTCTGCAGTTGTCCTACAATGTGTGCTTCTATACTTCCTAGCTGGAACCTGTGCACATCTTTGCTGTGGTTAGGATGTAGATTAGCATTTCAAATGAAAATGTGGTTAGGACGTAGATCAGCTCCTCCCCACTGTTATTTTGGCAAGATTTGCTGATGCGCCAATTCATTGATTACCATTTGTTCTTTCAAGGGCTTTGACCTCGAGGATGTCGCTACGGTGCAAGCAAATGGTGATATTGAGGTTGAATCAATGTTTGCCGGTACATTACCTGCGGTCCATCCTAACATCTTGCAAAGAAATCTGGAGTTGCTGTCCGAACTGAAAGCCCCTCCACCTGAAGAACCTGTGGAGCTGTTCATAGGCATCCTTTCAGCAGGAAGCCACTTCACCGAGCGCATGGCTGTGAGGAGATCATGGATGTCTGCAGTTCGAAATTCATCAAGTACCATGGCTCGGTTTTTTGTCGCCTTGGTAATTTATTGTCTCGCCGTTTAGTTCCGGCAGCTTTCTTTCCCTTCTTCTCATGACAAGATATATAACCAAACCATGTTTCAGGGCAGAATGGAAGAAGGGAAGTTAATGAAGATTTGAAGAAAGAAGCGGATTTCTTCGGGGACATTATCATTGTGCCCTTTGTGGATAGCTACGACCTGGTTGTTCTGAAGACTGTTGCCATCTGCGAGTATGCGGTATGTAGCATAAGGGGTGGATTTAACATTGTCACACTGACTTTAAATTACCTTTTGGACAGTTCTTATGCAATCTCAATGTTCTTTTTAATTTATTTATACTTTGTCCTTGAAGGCTCGTGTTGTTGCTGCGAGGTATGTCATGAAGTGCGATGATGATACCTTTGTTAGGCTTGATTCAGTCATGGCTGAAATCAAGAAAATCCCAGAAGATAAAAGCTTCTACATGGGGAACATGAACTACTACCACAGACCACTCCGAGAAGGAAAATGGGCCGTCTCATACGAGGTGAAGTGAACTACTGCATTTTTCTCCTGTTTCTGCAAATCTCATCGGCAAATGTTATCTTGAAATTACACAGATTGACTACTTGCATCTCTTTTTACTCAAGTGATCAAAAGTAATTAAATGCTCACGTCCTGTGACAACATCCATAACGATGAACAGTATCTCCCAGAAAGACAAACCAGTACATAGGAGCTGCATTAAGTTTCATCAGAAAGAAGATACCAAACCAGTGTTGTACAAACTTTTTGTCGACCGCGTCAATTTCAGACGATTACTGCTCATGAACAGCATTGTTTTTGTGTCGCCACTCATCAGTCCTATTACAGTTCCTGGACTTAGCAACACAGACAGCGTGTTCATGTTCCTGATGTGCCAAATAATGGTACATGAGAACCACATGATTACATGAACGACTGGTATGCGCTGCCCACATGAATATGTTTATTGTCTCATGTAATCATGCTGGCTAACTACATTCGTTCGTTAGCGCAATCATTGGCGCGCCATCATTATTGACCTCGTCCTGTGCCGCCGCGCTGACCTCTTTGGTGACATTCCCCGCTCAAATTCCAGGAGTGGCCCAGGGACACCTACCCGACGTACGCCGACGGCGCTGGCTACATTGTTTCTTCCGACATCGCCGGCTTCGTCGCGTCGGAGATGGAGAAGGGCAGGCTGAATGTAAGCCCTCCGCACCTAAAACACCTTTCATCCTCTGTGTTTCATTCCATGTCAGTTATCAAGTGGCATTTGGGAATGTGATCCCATGTAGTGACTGCATCTCACATTCCACATTCCACACAAGCACTCGAGAGCCAGGCACCATCTGGCTGGGCTGGTTTAAAGTTTGGTGCTATGAATGATGCCGATTCTGATCGAAAATCGGGGGCCCAATCACGCGTGGGCCGAAAAGATGGCCCATGCCACACCACACCACACCAGAAAAGCCAAAAGTTGTATCCGTTCATCCATCAATCATCAATACATAGTACATCACCTTGTATTAACAAACGAATGATTGCGCTCTGCTTTGGCCATGGCAGCTGTTCAAGATGGAGGACGTGAGCGTGGGCATGTGGGTGGGGCAGCTCGACGCCGGCGGCGGCACCGGCGGCGTGGAGTACGTCCACGGCGCGGGGTTCTGCCAGGCGGGGTGCGCCGACGACTACCTGACGGCGCACTACCAGTCGCCGGGGCAGATGCTGTGCCTCTGGGAGAAGCTGCGGCAGGGCAGGCCGCAGTGCTGCAACGCCGGATGACATGGCATGGCACACAGCTCTTGCCACCGTGGGAGGGACGATCCAAGCTCATTTTTCAGGGGAGGTTGGGTATGACGTATGAGCTGAGCAGCAGCCTTAGGCAGCAGTGGAACCTGACAGGTTTAAGTTAATTACTACTCACTTGCACCGCCTCACCTCACAGCTCACATGTGATGTATGCACATAATCAGCCAGGTAGTGGTACAAACATTAGTTACCCCGTCAGGTCAGGTCAGGTCGATAGTAACCTATATATACTTACCAAATGATTATATACATGTTGTTATTATTATCATAATAAATAAACTAACTCTAGCCGGCTCTCCATGCTATTCATCATCATGATCGACGGTTGCACGTGATGAGTCCACAAGTAGCGCTGATCATATTTTGGCGCCAAGCCCATAACGCAGTAGAAAAGAATGTGCGTCTGTAAATTTAAGTAGGGATGCGGCCATGATCGGTCGACATGTGGTTGGGTTGTGGGGCAGCGGCGACATGCGCCGTGTGGGGGTGGTGGTGGTGGTGGTGGCAGGAGGGAATAGCACGCGCCGGAGTGCCGCTGCCGGTGCTGGTCGAGGTTGACCCTACTAACATGCGCCTCCTGCCTGCTGCGCTAGGCGTTTTGTCTGCGCCTCTGCTGCGGTTGTGTATACTACTCCCTCTGTAAACTAATATAAGAGTGTTTAGATCACTAAAGTAGTGATCTAAACGCTCTTATATTAATTTACGGAGGGAGTAGTATTTATTTAGTACTGCTGCTGTTATACTGTAGTACAACACTTCTCTTTCTGCTGCTGCTGCTGCTGCTCCTTGTGGTAAACTATGGTGGTCAGAT